GGGGGAGAGAGAGAGAGCTGATAAACAATGAAAATAATCGCGGAGGGACCTCCCTCCTCCGCGAAATTGGACGTTCGAGGAGGGAAGGTGCGACGTTCGCGCTTACATACTTTTTCTCTCGACAGCGGTATCTCCCTCGGGCGATCCCGCTCGGCCGCGTGCCGCGACACGGCGACGGTCAGGAGGAAGATGCATAGCGCGATCATATCCGTGCTCCGTGGCAGCCGCGCGTCGACTGAGCGCGGCGCGATGCGAAAAGGACGAGAGCTCCGTTTCTCTCGGCCGAGCTCCCCATCTTTCCTGCCTCTCTCGCACCGACGCGACGCCGCCGCGACGCCGACGCCTGTCTCACCTCGAGGAGGGGTAACGCATCGCCGCGCATCGCGAAAGATCGTCTTCACGAATGCGCAGTGGACGAAATGCCGATCCCACACGCTGCCCCCCGCTGACGTCGCGTCGCGTTCGACGGCGAGGGGGGCGAACAATGGTACAAATACAGCTGCACTTTCGTGCTGCACTGCCGACGGCAGTGTCGAAGGCTCTGTGTGCATTCGCGTTTACGCGGTGACCGCCGCAATAGCGTCGTTCTATTGTCGTTGCGCATTAGACATCAAACGAAGATAGAGCGATGCATCTACGACCCTCGCTGCGCAAACGAATGCACACTCTGGCTGAACGATCTAACATATCGGAATGTGAAGGACGTAAAAGGATTGTACTTTGTAACGCCAAGTAGAGGAAAGTCCCCTATTATGAGATAGGATCCTAATAATGGGATAGCGTGAATGTATTGCCCTTGGAGCGAAATCTGTTTAGTGAAAAATTGATTGTTAGATCGCGTAATCGTTGCGAGAAAAGATTTGCGATTGAATTTGGGTGTTGAAAATCTGCTGCCTATAGTGCGCGCGACGCGCGGTCGAGCCGCCGACCGCCGCACGACGAGCCGCGGCGCGCGATTGGCCGCGCGCCGCGGCGAGCCCCCCGGATCCAGCCAGTCGCGCTCGCCGGCTAACGGCCGGCGGCGGCTCGAGCCGCCGCACCGTCGCGTGCCCTTGATCGTACACTGAGTAGCGTAAATAACGTTTTTATTACCTTCCGCTTGAGTTAACGCGTGATTCTCAATTGTTTTTTTCGACGTTTCAACGTACGTACCGAGGTGAATCAGAAGTCAGTCGCCCGCGGGACCTCGAGTCGATAGGACGTGTTTCGTGCGTCGCACGGCCGGTCGAGCCGCCGAACGCTATTCTCTCCGGCTAAAGCTTCCCTTCGAATCAGCCAATCGTTCTAGAAGTTTGTCGACCGGCGGCGCAACTGAACGCGCGCTTCGATAGGACGAAGATAATACGATAAGACGTATTGGTGCGAGCCGCCGAGTGCCATTCTCTCCGCGGGACACCCTCCCCGCGCATCGGCCAATCGCAGTCGACGTCTCTCGGTGCCGACGGTGTAACTGAGCGAGCACGGCGAGCAAATCTAATGGATTCTCAAGACTCGGAAACAACGTTCGTTACCTTCCGCGCCGGTTATCAAGCGATACTGTGGATTCTTTTTTCGTTCGGCGTTCGACGTACCTGTGCGACGAAGTGACTCGCGGTGCCGGCGGCCGGTTAATTCGCCCGAAGATTCTCGAGCGGACAGGAAGCGTCCGCGAGTTACTTACCGCGCCGTGACATTTTCCGCGTGTGGTTGGCACCAATGTTGCTCTTTCCGCGGGAATCGTCGATTCGCGCGCGCAACGATTCACGAGTGTATCAAGTTTGTTGGAACGAATGCGTAGTGGCTGTGTCGGTTACGGATCGAGAGACAATGATTGATTGCGAGAAAAAGGACGAAGAGTGGATGTGTCGCGCGATTCACTCGAGGCGGAGCCGTCGAGACGAAAGTACTGGAATTGCGAAGTGTTTCGTTGCGCCATTCGCGGCCGGTTGCTCGCTGCGCCGTGTCTGGACTTGAATATGGCCGTTTTTCTCGTGCGTCGTCGCGTTCCGTGTCGATTGACAATTTATCTCCGATTGTTCGCGAAAGGAGGAAGAGGACCGAGTGCGCGAGTGAGTGTTAGTGTCGCTTCGACGGAAATCGACGCAACCGGCCATCCGAGAGGACAGTCTGCCCAGTGAGAAATGATTCGTCGATCGACGCCGAAATGATGTCGAATCGACGTCAATTCGACGGTGTCGATGTCGATTCGGCGTCGTTTCGACGTCGATCGACGAATCATTTCTCACTGGGTGAGAGGAGGCGGAGGCCCCGGCAAGGGCATCGGGCACCGTCGGAGGAACTTGCGGTAACTTTCATTTTGCACAAAAGCGACCTTTTTAGCCGCTTATTTTCCGGTCGTTACATTGCACCATAACTTAACAGTTAGAAAGAAGTAACTTGAAAATTGATTAAAGTTCGTTCCCGCGATTTTTGTTCGAAACATGTTTAATTATTAAAGTATAAATATCTTGTGACTCGTCGCGTTCTACGTCGATTGATAATTTATTTTCGATTCTCTGTTACAGGAGGACGAGGGCCGAGTGCGCGAGTGAGTGTCAGTGCTAGTGTTGTGCTTCGAAGGAAACCAGCACAGCCGGCCATCCGATAGAACAGCCTGAGTGGAGGAGGAGGCCTGAGTAAGGGCATCATGCATCGGCGGAGCAACCTTGCGGTACTTATCCTTCATTTTGCGCAAACGCGACCTTTTTCGCCGTTTTCTTTCGAGTCATATTGCATAACTTAATAATTAGAGAGAAAGAAGTAATTTGAGATTTTATTAAAGTTCGTTCCTGTAAATTTTTTCGAAAGACGAATTATTTGAGTATAAATATTTTATTGACTGGAAGGCTCATTACGCGTAAGAAATATATTTTGAAACTTTGCTTTTTTAACATTATTTGAATATTAATTTTATGTTTGTTTGTGCATTACAGAATCATCGTAGCGACGTTGCAGCCATAACTCCGCTGTTGCGCGTCAGTGTTGGTGAGTGATGAATTAATTTTTATTATTGAGGCAACGGATCTGTTGTAGATTTATTGAATATACATACTAATGATACATATATGTATTTGTTAATAATGTAAAGATAGCAAATAGAAATATAAAGTATTTCGTGCATCCGTTGCCTTAAAATTAATAAGTTAAAACAGATTAGGAGAAATTTAATCCTGGATCTTAATTATATGTATATCTTTTGTTACCTAACTTAGTGTGTATACGAGAACGTACTCTTGCACACACTACGTACAAAGGAAAAATTTAGAATACCATGAGAATGTGTTATATTTATTAATTATTTTAATTAACAATGTGATTTAGACAATCAAAGTTTATTTTATTCAGTACATGTGTACATTACGTTATTCTTCGCAAATATAGTGACGAAGGAAGAAATTTAGAACAATTGAGATATAGACTTTTAAAGTTACTGCTGTTACTTAAAGTTTACTCATGGTATTCATACATATAATATGTTTGATCCACAGGGAATAAGTATAAAAAGTTTGTATATTGTTATTTGTTATTACTTTTATCATTTTATTCTCCATTTTACTATAATCTTTTGTCCAGGATTAAATTTTACATAAGTTAGTGCAGAAATGGAATATATAAATATTCCTTTCTAAGTAGTATTGTTAATTTACTTGTATACGTTTGTAATAATTAAATTACAACAAATATTTTAGCATAATATATTTCATACAAATTATTAATTTATTTTTTATAACAGATAGTTATGGTTACTGAATCATTATTACCTACTTTAACGCACTAACTTTAGCCTAAACTGTTATAACTTATATGTAGTGGTTGATAACTGGATTGTACCAGTTATATGACGTAAGATCCAATACACATTTTTTTATGAAAGAAAAGACTTGTTTTATCTAAAAATTATCTTAAAATTTATATTATCCCTTTCGGATCTTACGTCATTCATCTGAATTTTTCATCTCTGCATGCTTTTGAGATGAAATTCAGCAACGAATCGTTCGAATCGATAAAAATACGTAAAATGTCCCTTAGATTCAATCGAATGACGCGTCTAGCAATTTTTATTAATTTCCACATTAAAATTTCGTTATTATTTACTTTATCAAGTTTAAAAGTTTTGTGTAAAGTTCAGAATCGCGATCCCTTCGAATCAAAACGCGGTCGATATAGAGAATTTTTTTCTAAACGCGTGTAAAGAGTAAATTCATGATGTAATTATTATTGTTATTGGTCATAGTTAATTCTTTGCGTAATTGATTAAATTAATTTGATGGCCCCTTCGCGACGCGTTCGTGTTTCGCGCATCGTACAAAAGCGTAGATTCTTACGCTTATTGCTGGCTGTGATCAGCTGGCAGCAGAAGGAGTATATCTCCTTGCTGTCGATTTCTGGCTATGTAAAGCCAGAGTATTGGCCAGCGTGAATTTAGCTGGCCAGAATAAAGACAGCGAAGTGTATCCCACAAGGTTGGTGTACATATAACGGAAGTACACATAATCGAAAGAAAAGGTTTGCCTAGAGGGCATTCTTGAATGTTTATACGTGCGATTGCACGTAATTAAAGACGGAAAGATGCCGTCTCGAGTTCCGCGTAAATCCTCTATATTCCGCGTAAATTAAATTCCCGATAAAAACTCCCAAACGGTCGCGATTTAAAACCAAACTCAATGTTCTAAAATTTCAGGTATTCGCGGTCGTAATTAAAAGTATAATTAAAGATACGGTTAGGTAGAAAATTATGCACTTACAATTAGACAAAAATAGGGTAAACGGTAAATAAACAGGGATATGGAACTATAATTTTCAACAGGAAAAGGAAATTTCATTAGTAAAATATATCGGTAGGAAATTTAAGAAAGTACGATAGGAAAATGAATAAGTGACTATACGGGTAGGTAGGGATACGGGTAGGTAGGATTGGGGGATATATATATTATATATAATTTGTGATGAGTAGAGAACAATTGATTTACTTTTCAGATTTATTATTGCACATTTTTATGCGACGGATAAGTGTAAGAATGTGGTAGGTAGGATTGGGGGATAATTTCGGGTGGGAAAATTTATTTACTTTACAGATTCATTATTGTACACTTTTATATAAATAAATTTTACAATTTACTTTTTTGTACAAATTTACTTGCACAAAATTGTACAATAATAATGCAAAAATATACATAATATTTGTAATCGGATGCATATAATAAGATGTAACTTTAAGAATAAACTGTAACTGTAACTTCGTTACAAATAACGAGTTACTTCCCAACCTTGTGTATAGCTATATTTTATAATACAACTCTCGCAGTTTTGCAAGAATTAAAAGATTGTTTGGGAATACTGGAGGAATATCAGATATATATAAATGCCAAATATATTTTATATATATATATTCTGTTATTTACTTTATTATCTAAGATTTTATAAATTTCGCTAATTTTATTTTTTATTTTAGTCTTCTTATATCTGCGTTTTATTTTAAAACTTACTTAGCTTCATCACGCAATTACATATAACTATTTAATTTAGTACATTAAAATTTTTTCATACGTTTATAAAAATCAATGATATACTTTATATTCCTTTACAAAATATTGCTGCTTGCTCGTTTATAAGGAGTAAATAAAATATAAACTACGAGGAAAGAGAGATAAATTAAAAGAGAAAGTTGAGAAGTGTGTGTTCGTGTGTGGAACAATCTATTTGCATGTAGAAATGAAATATGTAAAGAGAGAAAGAGAGGAAAAGAAAGCAAGTCCAATTAAGTTTCTTTGCTGAGAAATATTATATATAAAATAATTGAGATAGTTTCCTTTACTTCCTAAACGTCTTACATAGAAATATCGATGTAATGAACCTTACAAAAGTCAACATTATCAAAAGAGCTAAGTGATGGACGAACTTCGCGAATCGTTATCGCGTAACGATCCTAGTAGCACCATATATTACATAAACGTTTACATTACGTAAATTGTACACGCCCGAGAAAGTAGCTTTGACCTTTTCAAGCAGAATTTATTCGAGTCTTGCATCGCGCACGCACATCATTGGCTAGATAGATTTTCATTGAAAGTAAAATTAATACAAAGTGATTCGAAGGGGCAGAAAATAATCATGGTTTCCCTTCGAATCACTTTTACATCCTAACTGTGTATCTAGATTGCTCCCAACTGAAATCTATCGTTCCGCCAAGCTCGCAGGTGTTAAAACCAGATTCGCGTACAGATATTCTCGCGAAATCTTGCTCTCATATATTCGAGATATTTATCTAATATCTGGTACTACCAAGGAGGCCGAGAGCGTTCACGAACGTGATGTTTTCGCGCCGTTTTCCGCTTCGCTCGCGCGCAACCCGACGACAGTCCTCTCCTCGAGAGAGAAACTTGAGCTTCGATCGCGTTAAATAAATAATAGTAAACGCGCGGCGCGTCAAACGCGAGCCAAGCTTCGCAGATCTAAATTCGATCGACGTGATCGATCGGAATCAATTATGACTCGCGACTGTTTTTACCGGGTTTCTTCGAGGCGAGTAACGTCCGTTAAATTCGCGGCCGGTGATCGCCCGACTGCGTTTTCCGTCGGGCCATCTCTTTTTGCGGGCATCTTGTGATAAATGGACCACCGGTGTAACGGTCGTTAATGGGGATTCGAGAAAGCTCGGTGAAACCGATCATCGGAGTCCGATATGCGTGTCTTTCACGAGCGCGAATTTACGCCCTCGCGATCAGCACGCGCGAAAAGGATGCATGAGGGATGATCGATATCTTACTTATCGAACTGGAAACAATACAAAGTAATCTCGCTCCTAAAATGTAAGTACGCGTATCTTGAGCAACCGTCTCGCGCAAGTCGGGGCCTCCCGGACAACGCAAACGTCCAGAAGACGCGGTAGGAAAGTTCGAAGGGTGTTCCCTCGTTTTTGCAGAGTCCCCTCGGGCTTCTCTCGGACTTGGTCTTTCGGATTTTCACGCTGCCCGGGTTCTTGCTTTCGGTCGGATGGAGTCAAACGATCGGTCTATCGCGGAAAAAAAAGAGAGCATATATCTTGAGGAATCTCGTGGCGTGTCCACATCTCGCGTAATATCCAGGGCCACGAATTTTTAATTGCGGGTAAATTTATGTCCCAAGGTCGACGATCGTCGGATCGACCTCGGCTCGAGTCTCTCCGTCGTTGAGATTCCGTGTTAAATATTTTTGATCCTCTTTCTGCCAAGTGACACGAATTTTCGATGTTAGCGACGAGCGCTGAAGCGCTCGGGATACTTTCTTTCCACCGATGCGCCGACCGGTCAAGCGTCTTCAGTAGTTGTAGGGCCCGTACTGGGAACCGTGATAATACGGCCCCGGATACGCCGCAGGTGCCGGATATCCGGCGTACGCGTACTGCTGCTTCTGCGGGTACACTGGAAAAATGAAAAGGGACATTAGACTCGGAGACCTAAGTTCGCCGCGCTTTTCTGATAAAGGAAACAGATTCTGTTGACACGTAAACGAGGCAGTCAACATAATTCTTAAACAATGATATCATTTATCTGCTACGGTTAGTTTCATGAGAGTTAAAGAACGAATAAGGAACAAATGTTCACTATACTTTATAAATGATCAAACAAACTGATAGTTTAAAATTTCTTTACTTCGTAGACAATGTTTTACAAAAACTAGAAATCGTTAACATTATGTGGTTAATACGTTGAACGCAGGAAGGATAATGACTTTTTATCTCATCGAGGAAATGATCTTATCTTATATTTTCTCTTTTAATCGTCCTTGCCCCTTGGGAAAATGTACCTTAGAAAACCGTAAAATTTTACTTTCGAAAAATAAGAAATGTGGAAAGTAAATTTGGACATTTTAAACTCTTATTTAAGGTAAACTTCAAACTTACTTTAAAAATTTCAAAGAAAACTTTAAGAATTGTGAAAAGTAAAATTGTAAAAATTACTTTAAGTGTCCAAAATTACTTCAAAATTTCTTAAGTAGACTTTTAACTTCTTTAAGCAAACTCTTAGATTTGAAAGATTACTTTTAAAAGCTGTAATTTCATTCGAAGTAAATTTTCCCAAGGGTGTCATCTTCGAATTAATTTATCTATCGAGAAATGCGCATTCACCGTTCTGTTAAATTTCTGAGCAACCGATTCGAAGAAAGACTCTATCCAGCATCACGAGACGCGAGACATTTGTTCTTCGTCCTACGTGTAAATCGAATTCCGGCATCGATCAGTCAGCGTATGGGGCTGAATGAGCAAACACGGAAATTTTTTGCGGCTAGAAGTCGGTGGGTGTACGGAATGGAAAATTAGGCAAGTATGTCGCTTTCGAGCGTCTACTTCTAGATATCACTGGCTTTTCCGTTCTTTTGCTCGCAGAAAACAACAATTATTTCACATGAACGTTTATTTCCGCATGACCAATTTTCTAAAGTTACTTGTAACGTTGGACGATGACCGAGAACCATATTATACAGAAATTGTATCCAAATAAGATCGTATTTTGCGCAAAGAAAGCGATAATAAATTGTTAAAAAAAGAAAGAAATTTTATTGCTGATTAAATTTATGTTTCCGCGCGCGCGTATATTTTTAAAATAAAGTTAAAAGGAAAAGCACGCGGAAAAGGTTTAAAATCTCCTCTACATTTTGATATCATTAATCTGATTTCGATAGCAATGAATATTTCTATCACGAGCGTTGTAATCTTGTAAAGCGAAACTTCTCACGATCGATGTAAACAGGATGCTCGTTTCGAATGCAAATGATAGAGAAAACCAACTGTCGAAAGGAATTTTTACAATGTACGAGTCGGTGTAACGGGAGGAAAAATGTACCGCGGCGAAAATGCAAATCGGCTCGGCGTTGCGTTTTCTCCCTGCAAATTTCGAAATACATTTTTACGACGGCGCGCAATTCTGCAACCCGGTCGATCATCCGGAGGAGAACTAGAAAGTTTCCTTCAGGATTAGAGCGTGACAGTGCTCCGATCCGTGGCGGAAACAGACCGTGAGACGAACAAGTAAAAGTCTCGCGAGAATGAATATTGACCGTTACCTTCCACGCGATTATCAGTACAATTTGATAATCGATCTGCCTAAACCGCTTAGATCTCAATCGCTTTTATCCTCGATAATCACTTATCCGCCAATGGATCATTGCGCGGCGATCAATAGCATTCGTCGTTTTTCGTAGATACGTACTCGTTTCCGATCCAATTTCAATAAAAATGCGGCCTTGGCAATATTAATATCGAGAGCATAAAGGCAAATTTAAATACTCGGTAGACCAGTAATTTTACGCGCGGCTTCGCTCCTCCGATTGAATTTAGCCGCGAGGAAATTGCGTCAAGAGCTAAATCTAGAATCTCGCCATGCAATTGCGATTTCAAGTTAATATTCATCGAACTAGTTTCGTGCGGCCTCGTTTTTCGCGTTCGCAAATTCGCAGGGGAAACTAATGTTTTCAAAACATCACAGGACTCTCTCGTCAGTGGGATTAACATTACATTACTCTCAAACGGTACAGCCCAGTGAGAACACGAACGTCGAATCGACGTCAATGGGATCGAAACCGCGCCCTAACCGCCAATTTTTGGAAAATAATTAACAGTTTTGGAACGTTATATTTTGTATTGAAATTAATTTGTATTAAATTTTATATTAAATAAATTTACTTGGCAGTTCTCTCCAATAAGATCTTAAGAGTACTCAGAACGTTGAATTTAATACAATAAGAATAAAGTTCCAAGACTTAATGCTGGAGTGATTCTACATGTTTGGCACCTTTTGTGCATCCAGACCTTGATAATCGATTAATGAAGACATTTGTGTTACCTAGCATACAACTCATTCGAAGGAATAGAATACGTTTTTTGTTCTCTGATTTAATCCGATTAGTGGAAACTACTCGGTCTGTGCACAAAAGCCGCATAATTTCTATACTCCACAAATGTTTTCACGGATTGACAGTGCTAGCTGCAAAAGGTGCAAAAATTCCAGAATCACTCCAGCATTCCCTTAATTATTTTCGAAAACTGACGGTTGAAACGCGATTTCGACCCCATCGACGTCGATTCGACGTTAGTATTTCCACTGAGGGGAGAGAAAAAGAAAGGGAGATCGAGATCTTTTTATATACAAGGCGTTATTGGGATCGAGTCTTTCGCTCAGTTTGTGGTTTGTGTTATGATTAAGCAATTAGATTAATCTTGTATAGTCATTCAATTAGTTCGCGAAATTTCGATCTTCAAATTTGGATGCACATTACAATCGCTTATTAATACACGTATAGTCCGATTATCGGATAAACTAAGTCCTGAAACAACGATTATTACAAACATTGTTTCTTCGTAGATGACAGTAACATAATCTATGAAATAATACGCCTGATCGTGCTAATAATAACCGTGATGCGTTAATACGGAAGCACTTGAGGTAAATACGCATGACTCTCGTCGTTAGATATTTACAAAAAGTCAGTAAGACTAGGAAAACCGTTTAACGACATCGTCTGCTTCCATGTTGACGCGCTTCTCCTTGGAGTGAATCCGGTTAGTATAATGACGAGATGATCGTTATCCTCGTATCGCAAGGAAACGCGTTCCTTGCGATCAAGCCCGATGATCGTAAACTAAAGTTAGTAGAACACCCGGTGCACGTGGAATCCGACGCGGCGATTTCGCGTCCCGGCCGATTTCTTCCGAGGAAGATTACGATCTCTATGGCGACTTTAACCGCAAACATAAAAATGTCCGAGGAACAGTCTCAATGTTTTATCGAATGCTTTGAACGGTATCGTTGATATCAGCTGTTGCTTGAGACTAACGCTGAAATTGTCGATTTGAGACTCAAGTCATTTTTTTACAGTCTTCATTTCATAGGCAAATACGTTACAGTTTAACGATGTTATAACTCTCGAAAAATCAATCCGTGAATTATCACTGGAAACAGTGAAGTCACTGATTTACAGTTAGAAGTATAGAGGAAAATCCTCTATTGTGAGAGATAGGATTCTAATATGAGATAGTAGGTTTTCAACGTCGAAATTCAATCACAAATCTTTTATTTAGCCGAAACTCCACTATCTCATATTAGAAGCCTATCTCATAGTAGGGGACTTTCCTCTACCACTGCGATTTTCAGTGGTATACTTATAATTGCAAATCAGTGACTGTTCACCGTTTTCACTGATTGACTTTTAGAGAGAATATACAATAGAGATCAACGATATCACATCGAAACATTTAACGAGCACGAGAATGGAGAATCGATATCGGACTGTGAGTTCTCGGACGCGGCGTATTGCATAGCGATCATAGGAATCGAAGTAATCGCCGGGCGGTATTTCGCTAGCCGGACAGTATCCGCGTGCACGTAGTCGGCGAAAGCAATAGGTGTTAAATATGTACCAGGCATGAGGTACTGCATGTTCATCGCCTCCTCGCGCATTCTCTCGCCCCTCAAGCAAATCGCCGCGGCGCTAAACAAGATCGCGCTGACCAACGACCAACCGACGCCGACCCAAGCGACCACGTACGACCAGTCGTACGAGATTAGCGAGTTGTCCTTGAGGACCTAGACAGTTTTGCCCCCGCGTGCCGTGCCGTGCCGTGCCGTGCCGCGCCGGGCGTATATAACAAACAAAAAGAAGAGATACGGGGCGAGTTAGTTTGGCCGTTTCATGGTTATCGTGTCACCTGGCATGATGTACTGAACGTTCTGGGCCTGCTCGCGGGCACGCTCCCTTCTCAGGCAGGATGCCGCGATCAGGAATAGCGTCATTGTGCCCAGACACGTAGCCACCCCCAGCCAGGCGAGGTAAAACGACCAGTCGTACCACTGTGCCGTGTTGTCCCTTAAAACCTGCGGGCAAAGTTCGGTCAAAATCTGCCGTTTGCGCTCGCGCTTGCCACCTCGGTCACGTGGAAACGCTCGATGCGATCAGGTGCCTGGAAGAATCTCTCCGTGCAAGACAAGCGAAAATTTTCCACACGTCCATTACGGTTATTATTCCGTAAGGTCAATTAGCACAGTCGACTTCAATCACGTCAACTTTTGCCTCTGCGCGTAACAAGAAAACGTATCCGACGATACGTGATTTTGTAAAATCGAGGCTAGTCTTCTGGAAACTAGATTTAATATTACATTTTTCAAGATATTTTTTAAAATTATCCTTTTCGCTTATTTTGCTTAGCAGTGACATGTGCGCCAAAACGTTGAACAGTTGCAGCTGACATTTGAACAATCGTGCAAATAATTCGGAAACGAAATAAAACCAAGCTGGGACAATTTAAGTAAACGATGATAAAGTACCATGTAGATTACTAGTTTTCTGATGCGATTGATACGACAATTAATGACAACTTTTCAACGTTTTATGGAGCATTTTGATCGTATTGTTAATAGATTTAAGTTTCGAAAAAGTAAAATTGAGTACTTACGTTGCTCCATTGTTGATAATATTCCTCTCCGACGATCTTCTCTTTTTCATAATACTCGACGCCGTGCCAAAGGCCCATACCGCCAGCACTCAGTAAGCCTGCGCGACATAAGCAGATATATTCCAACAATATCACATTATATTGTATTTATAAAAAAATAACATTTCGGGAGTTGTACTGACAGGCGAATAACATTAGGATTGCCGTGGCCGTGATGTTCCCCGGTGATCTTCTCCAGCAGCCCACTACTCCCGTCCAGAATGCCGAAAATATCGCGAGGAAACCGACCATGAACAGTGCTATCACTGATCGCCCCATATCTGCAACAATGATAAAGAGTTCGAATCCATTGTATCACTTGCGCACGCATTGCGCAATAAGAAAATTCTCTGTTTACACATTGACGAGATTATGAATATTTTTATTCAGGCTACGCGTATATTTTTCTTTAATCGGTCGCTATTATACGCGCGTTCGCTGCCACGCCAGTCGTTAGCGAACTTTCCATTCTCGCCGCATCGGATAGTAACGTTACTGAATTCTGAAGTGCTTATAATATATCATTCATATTTATAAGAGATCTAATCGCACTGTCTCACGTACTATCAACTCTTGCGATGTTGTCTTACGGCGTAATATCAATGGCATGGTATAAAATATTTACGTTCCATATTAAATATCCTAATAAATAAATAAAATCAATATAAACCAAAAACCAAATAAATATCCTAATAAATAAATAAAACATGGGAATATATTTTAAGTCAAATATCGTTTTTGCGCTTGTAATTCTTTTTATTACTTTTATGCACAAAATAATACCGGGATAAGTTCCGGACCGCATAGCAGAACATTTTCATACTTAAAACACTCAGTTCAGAAGTCTAATAAAAAAGATATCGATATTTGAAAGTTTCAATTTGTGGTTCTAACTAAATTTGAAATTGACTTTATAAAATTGCAAAATTCTTCCACACGATTAAAGTACGCATACAGACAAAACCAGGGACAGGGTAAAAAAAGAAGGCTGAAGGATTCTCTTAAAAATTTTTTAAATTGTAACATACCCACGTAGTTTGCGAATTTTTAACAAACCAAATTTTTATTTATCAATCTGTCCTGTTCCAAACAGAATTGTTCGGTTACGTAAAATGATATTACGTTAATGGTACCGAAAAATTAATAAAGAAACAAAATAGCAATTTAAGTAATGTGTATTCAACTATTTTAGAAAAAAAATGATCGAACGTATGTAAATTCTTTCTAGTGAAAAGCGTGACAAACACTGCTTTCTCATACCGATTTAATACGTAAGATGAAATTTGTTCGATTATGCTATACTTACGTAATCGTGCCATCGCGTCGTCGGAGAAGCCTCTTGTTTGATTTTCCTCATCGGGAATGAAATAATCGATATTCATACAATGCGTTTCCACGGGGCTCAGATAAGTCTCGACTGCAATCATAAAACAACAAAGAAACAAGTTATAATAGGAATTAATATACGATAATTAAAGATTGTGGCGAGTGTGGCGCAGAGAAATGTGCGCTGCTTAGTAAACAAACGAACGAAAAGATCCGTGTTCAAATCCAGCCACACCGCTGGTTTTTTCGGAGGGAAGTGGCAACCCACCGAGAATATCCTGCCACACATACCACCTTTAGGGGTGTATAGCCCTCCAGGTTGGAGGTTTCCTTCGACAAGGTTAGCAGCCTTACCGAAGATATGAGGTAAAACGAAATCCTCAAAGTATCAGAACAAACTGGATAAAACGAGCAAAAAGAAGAAGATTCGATAATATAAAATAAAGTTATCGTTTAAGGAAGCTAGTGGCTAAACAGTCCCTTATGCACGTGTTTAACAGAAGATAGGTGCATCAAGGCCTGATTTCCCACTAGCTTCTTGGACCGTAATTTTATTTTACATAAATTTTACAAGAATATAAGAATATGATAGCACGTTACCGAGTGATTTGTAAGCTATGAATAATTTGTTATTTACTTTAAAGTTTTGTTTAATTTTTCTATAATCCGAGCGAAGAAACGTGATTTTCATTTTCGTTGGCGAGAAATTGATTAATACCCCTTAAAAAATATTCCCTCTCCGAGGCATTGCGAGTTTCGCGAATTGCCTTGCCAATTATAGAGAAGGAACGTTTCACCGAGAGGCGCATATTCTACGTTTAATTGGCTAATCGTCACCGACGTTCTCATTTCACCGGCCGCGAGATACGCGGAGTCAACGTTCATCTAACAGCCGGTTACGACATTCGGAATCGAGGCGCGCTGCGTTCTAAAGTGAGATAAACGCGGAATCTTAGTGAACCGCGAAATAACATTTTACACCTGCGGAGATGACGACGTTGTAATTTATACCACTTAGCGGGGAAATTTATGTCACATTAAAGACGAGGCTCTCTGCTGAGAACAAAACGTCGTGACTCATTGTGATCCGTTACTGAGTCACAACAAAAAATAAAAATAAATAAAGTAGAACAGGGCAATTGGACCTATTTTTCTAATCAGCCTGAGAATTCGCGGTGTCTTTTTATCCCCAACTACTTTCACGAGTTATCTACGTTTGGGAAATATCGTAAGGAACCCTCTGCGCGCGTAGAATATGTCGAAGATCTCATCATCTGCAATTTCCCATAGATACGTATATAATGAACGGCCAGTGCGGATCGTAGTGTCCGTTTAGCACGCGGCGGAGGCGCGAAACGCGCGGATCCTTGAAGACGCGTCCATTAGATATCCCCGATGTTCTCGCGGGGAATTTACTACTGGGATTTATCAGCGATTCGTGATCCCACAGCCCCGGCCGGCCGCGTCAAGCGAGCGCGCGCCTCGAGAAGCACGCGACCCAGAATGCAGCATGCGCTATCGCCGGGCTCGATGTGTGCGGTACGCTTTTGCGCTCCGCAGCGGGGACTCGCCGCGCGCTTCTTTCGGCTCCTTTGCAACGGTACTCCCGCGGCGAAACCTAATCCACGAAAACGCCACCTTGGCACGTAGGAAAAAAGTTGTAAGGCAATCGCGCTTTCGCGGTCTCTTTCCCTGGCACGTCCCGCCCGATCAACCGAGACAATGCCATTGTCTCGCAAAGCCTCCGTGAGCCTTCGATCAATCGGATCAAATTGTCACTAACAGGATTCGGACAGGACGCGATCTTTCAGTGGGAATAGATTTTCGGAATTTTTTTCGAGGCCTCGGAACGACAGTTTCGCAGCCATTTTTGGCTAAACGACATGTCTTTCCTTCTGGACATTGTGTATTTTTTTTCAATTATAGAACTGTCGCTCCCGTTTTTCTCCCTCGCTAGTTGATTATTTGTTTTTTGTTTCATTCTTCAATTGTGGCTGAGTGAAAGTCTTTCGGCGAAAAGAACCACTGGAGCTAAGAAATGGGGCAGAATAACGTCTTCGAGTGATTTGAGTTTTTTTTTCCTCAAGTATTATGATTTCGCTTCTATCAGTTAACAACTGATTTACTAGTAAAATGTATGGTAAAATTTCAAAAATTCTTCAAAATGCCATGTTGTCCCACGTTTACGTGATTTTCGGGATAAATTTTAAGAGAAAATTCTCTCCGCGTATGAGCTAATCAGTGACTATTCGCTGTTTTCAGCGATAATCGACCGATTGACTCAGAGAAATCGGTTGCGAGAATTATTCTATGCGATGCAAAATTCCGTTAGCGCAGGACCGGAAGTGAGTTTTTCCGGGGGACCTGACGGCCGTCCTGCGCAGGGAGGACGGTACCGTTGGAGATATTTGAGATTCAGGCGACGACGCCGCGCGCGCGTTTCCTCGACCCTGTTCGAATCTAGTTTCGCCTAAACGAAACAAGGCGCCATGCCAAGATCGTTGACTCGCGCCTAACTGTACACGCGTTACACTCCTCGCCATTCCGGAAGAGGAGTCGTCGGCGACGGTGGCGATGCCGAGCGACCGTGGACGGCGGGGGCCCTCCTCGTATAGTACTTTTCATCGCGCGCTGCCGCGCGATACCGGGAGGCAGATAAAAGTCGCCGGACCGGTCGTTGACTGGTTTCTTTCAATTTTTCACGTATGCATTCGCGATCGTACGCGCTGACCTCGATTTTCGGCGCTGCGAGACGGTGCAAGAGTCGCGAGAAGTCCGGCTGATGGCAGAAAATAATCCGTAAACGCTCAAGTCTGTCTTAGCCGTGGACGTAAAAGTCGTGAAAGTCTATTGTATACAACTTGAGTTTTTCCTCTGCCTTGCCTTACGTTTACGACTAATAGCGAATTCGATTGCTCGCACCGAGTGCACACTAAGGCCTGGTTAACAATTTTTATTTAACTCTGTCTCAAATACAAGTTCAAAGAGTATTTGGCCAAAAAGTGATCCGTATGGATGCGACACGGGTCATTTTACTGGCTACGAAATATTTCAAGAGATATTTAAGACAATTCTTAAATATAAGAATTGACTGTAAACAAGCCTTAATGCGCGCTCAGGATATCTTAAAGTTTGCCCGGTGAGAAATGATTCGTCGATCGATGTCGAATCGACGTCAATTTGACGGTATCGACGAGTCATTTCTCGCTGGGCGAACTTGATCCGCAAATGTATGGCGGAATGCAGGGCTAATGGAATATATTTCCAAGATACGGGATACATTTGATACGAGTCTTCGCTCAACATTCGACAGATCGACCTCGGATTTGTTTGAGTTTCTCCCCGGGTTGCAACGTTCGGTTCGAGCCTGATCACGCGGCCCTAATAAATCGAAGCCGCCGGAAGCGGGTCGCCGGAAGAAAACGGCACGCCGAAACCGATAAGGCGTCGTCCTCGGCGAGCACACGGCACCGGTCGGCGAACGGTACCGCGATATACGAGCGATGCATCGATCATTTCGATTGTTTTCCGGCCGAGCGACGAGAACGAGCTCTCTCGCGCCCGGCGCGGGCGATTTCTTCGCTCCTCCGGGCGGACCGATAGAATCGATTCTCACCGATCCGGCCTCGATACGCTCGCCTTTCCTCGCTGTTTTTTCTGCTCCCACGATATACCCGCGGCACGGGTACACGTATCGGCGTGCGCGCGAGCGTATTTTCGTTCGCGAATCCGGTGAGAGAAGCCATTGTCTCCCGCCGCTTTCAGCATCCGCGCCCTGTCAGATCCGCATTTCATCCGAATCGGATCGTCTGGCTCGATCGTTAACCCAAGTGTCGTCTATTGCGACTATTAGATCTGGGATCTGGAACTAGCTCGGGTCTCTCGCGGACACCGGCGCGGCGTATGTAGGGTAATGAGGGAGATTACTCTCGTGTTGGCCAACTAATGGTGACAAGACGACTTGTCACTTTATCGGTGTACCGCTACGCGTTGTATAGGAACGCAACCGATCGCTGCGATCTTGACATCCTGACCGTCGGGATTTTGGGACGGCAATTTCACCTGCTGTCCGCAATATTTAGCGGCGAGGAATTTTGCGCGCGTAAAATTCCGCTTGTAAATAACGCGCGTCGCGTCCACCGGCGGTGCTTTTCGATGTCTCTTCCTGTTTGCTCGAATACGATCTCTTTCTCTCTCTCTCTCTCTCACTATCTTAACACGGAGAAAAATATCCTGGCCTATTTCATCGGATAATTAATTATATATTAATAAACGGATACGTTCAATTAAACTGTATATCCGATGAAAAGTGTAATCGGTTTTTCGATTAAATTTCATCGGTGACCGCAATTTCGTGGGATAAATTTCATCGACTATGTTCATAATTTAATCGGAAAACTTAATCGGAACAACTCATTTATCCAATGGAAATTTTTCTCAGCGAACGTTTCTCAATTTCTAGAATTTCCTTACTCTAATTGCTTGCTAACGATATTGAGTTCATTACATCGCTCGCGTCACGCTGAATCACCTCTATATCAATCCTGTTCTTACATCTTACCTTTTATCTTACATACACGGAGAGAATTTTCTCTTAAAATTTACCCTGAAAATCACGCGGGACAACATGGCATTTTGAAGAGTCTTATGAGAGTTTTATGAAATTTTACCACACATTCTACTAGTAAAATGTATACCAAGTATAATTAGTAGTAGAATGTACGGTAAAATTGCAAAAAAAAACTCCCATAAGATTCTTCGAAATGCCACGTCGTCCAACGATGACATGATTTTTCCGGGTAAATTTTAAGAACAAAATTCTCTCCGCGTACAAGTCGCGTTGAAGCGCGCCGTAGGACCTGATAGTCTCAACGACTGCTTCATTCATCTTTAATCGGTCCTATCTCGAGAAATCCCGTCCGTACCACGTGCCACGACGCCGGCATACTTTCCTCGCGTTCACCTCGGAATTTTACCGAACGCTAACCACCGCGCTTCCTCCCTACGACGCGGCGGTTCGCTATTGTGCGCACAACAATGGATTTTATATGAGCGCCCTAACGTATGTGCAGCCCGCATCCACGCGGCTAGCCATGGGTACGTTTTCACTTCGTAGAGCGCGCCGCGTTTTCCCTTCCCGTTCGAAGAATGCGCAACCTGAAACTTCCGGGAGAACTGGAATCACCTGTACCGTGTACCGGACTTGTGCAAAAGTATACTCGCGCGTTCTATTCTTTATTTTCCTCTTCGCTTCCTTTTAAACCCGCGATCGCTGCCTCGAGAATCGAACCGTGACTCGCGCGACATTTTCGAAAATCCAATCCCAAGTTACGATCGCGCGCCTCGTCGGTGTAATACGAGAGATCTGAACGGCCAATCCTGTAACGTGTATGCTACAAAAGTATACTCGCGCGTTCTATTCTTTATTTTTTCTCTTCTCTTCTTTTTAATCCCGCGATCGCTGTATCGAGAATCGAACCGTGACTCGCGCGACATGTTCGAAAATGTAATCCCAAATTACGATCGCATGCCTCGTCGGTGTAATACGAGAGATCTGAACGGCCAATGCTGTAACGTGTATGCTTCTAAAAATAGAAATTACTTCAGAAGACTTGCATAACTTCTGGAAGAACCGAAGAGCGAAACGTGCTGCTTTGCATTCACGCTTACACATTTTGAGTTTTTATTTAAAAAAAATGCTCTGGAATTCTTATTGCGTCACGTTACATCTTCCTCGTTGTTCGCGTAATCCGGCGCGTAACCGGGCGACCGTTTATTTATGATCTTCTCTTCACTTACAATTAGCCAAACCGATCTGCGATTACAGCACAATTCGAGCGTACGCCACGCACGTCTCCGCTATGCTGACGCGCGCATGATAATCTCCGATTATTACGTCGTGGAATGAACGTTGCGTGACTCATCGAGGCACGTAAAAATCGATTTCACAATTTGTACGACGTAAGAAAAAAACGACATTGATCACGCGTATTGGCGTTATTTTAATTTATCGTTTAAGATTCTGACGCACCTCCGTTGCGGAAGATAACGCGATAGACTTCGAGTCTGGAATGTCGTTCGCTATAATCGTATAAACTCTAAGATTAGAATCGATTTTTCCAGTTGATTTTAATCGCGGTTCTGCGTCCTATTTTGTTTGGAGACATTTCGAAGAGCGAAGGCTAATTAAACGGCGATTAAATTTAATCGAAGGAACTGATCCTTGGACACAAATTGGTTAATTCATACTTGGTGACCTAGATTTGTATCGGAATTCGCTTAATCGGCACATACTTCCTGCGATGAACGTCGGAGCCATTATATGAGATTATGGCCATAATCGGGTTAATTGCGTTGATTACGGATTTAATTACGTTGATTCTGTAATTGAAAACCAGGTATCATCGCGTTTGATTACCTGTAACTGTATTTATGTATCCTTCCAGTTACGTGTCTTTTTCCTAATTGGTTTAATTGTTTACAAATGCACAAACATTGCCGGGTTTCTTCATTTGCCGCCTTAAAAATAGCCGATACCTCGCTGAACATTATATGACATACACCATGCGTCATTACCGTAGAAAGTTTCTAATTGGAAAGGCGTTCCAAGCCATAGAGCATTATACACGACGCGAAATTACGCACGAAGAGTAGGATTTGATCACATCCTTGTGCGTAACACGCGTGCTTTGATTCCGGGTTTAAATGCCGGGATTTAACGCGCCGAAGGTAACCGCGGCTCCCTTTTAAAAGCGACGCTGTTCCACCATATGTTCCCTTTCGCGTATTGTATCCTCGAAACGTTTAAACTTTTATCTACAAACTTTAAGATATAATCTCCAGGAAAAGAGAGACTTTGAAAGATACTATAATAATAAATCTGTATTTGTGCACGGAGGAAATTCTCTCTTAAAATTTATCCTGAAAATCATGTGGTCATGAGACAACGTGGCATTTTCAAGAACTTTATAGGAGTTTGTCGAAATTGTGCCATACATTTTACTAGTAAAATGTTTAGGAGCAAACTAGTAAATGTTTACTAGTAAAATGTATGGTAAAATTTAAAAAAAACTCCCATAAAATTCTTCAAAATGCCGTGTTGTCTCACTATTTCACGAGTTTCAGGATAGATTTTAAGAGAAAATTCTCTCCGTGTATCTGGCTGGCTTGCAAGAAAACCTTGTCCTTTCCGCTCACAGTGAACCGAGCGCTCGGACGCGGCCTGTGTTTCCAAGGCATTAACACGCGGTCGATCGATCGATCGGCCGATCGATCGGCACGTCGCGTCGCGTCGGCTGTTTCGCAACGACCGCGATCGCAACGGTCCACTTACGATGCGCGCGCTGAAAGAAAAAAAAAAAGAAGACCACCAGTTCTCGGGCTCCGGCAAGTCTTATCGTCCATTAAGTAATTTAAGACGAGGATTCTCGCGATCGGTGCAAAAACCTGGTGCAAGTCGATTCCGTTCGAAAACAGAATTCCATATTTCCGTCATTACTTCGGCATTTCGAGACGCTGTTCGGAAAACCGCGGCGGTCGTTCACACGGCATTTTTGCTGCTGCGTTGTAAACAGCTCGCGGATGTACCCGATGCCTCGCACAGAGTTGACTCCGATTGACTTTTTCGGCGCGTTCTTAGTCGCCATAAATTCGTTTCACTATAACATTGCGTACATATTTCGTTGTGGAATTTGTTTAAGCATTTAAGGGAATGCTGGAGTGATTCTGCACTTTTTGCACCCATTGCTCCTAGAACTGTCACATCGTGAAAATTGTAATTGCATTGCATTTGTGTAATATACAAATTATGCGGCTCTTGTGTACAGTGTATAAGGTAATAATTTTACCTACATTTACTGACGTATGTAAGCATACGCCTTTGATAGATGGTCCCAATATTACCCACTACTGTAATTTTACATGTAATTTTTTCACAGTGTACACGGCAGACTTTAGTTCGAAGACAGGCAGTCGTAATACGTTAATTTCCTTTTTCCAATCTTGTTTTCTAAAATATTAAAAGAAAGCGTTGCGTTTTATGATCTACTGCGTTGATACTTTTCATATGAGAACATAACGCTCGGCTAGTGCGCGGTGATGAATCCCGGGATGAGAAAGCGCCGCGATACACCGCGTCGGAGCTATCGGGAGAAAATGCACCTTTCTCCAAAGATTGTGCGCGTCTATGCGGCCGATTATAAACTGTTAACCTATTACGTGGGATCGGATAACCTACGACATTACGAGATCGTAACGTAGAAAGTTTCCTAAAGGCCGCGCACGGGGTGTCGAACGAGGAACTCGGGAGGATGTGGCGATCTTAGAATATTCGATCGCGAATCGATATACTAAGTATAATTACCAGTAAAATGTATAATAAAATTTCGGAAAGCTCAAAGTTGTTCACAATGCCATGTTGCCCCACGATTACACGATTTTCAGGGTAAATTTTAAAAGAAAATTCTCTCCGTGTACAGACGGTTCTTTGTTAAACGCTTGTTAAATTCTTACCCGTTGGTGGCCTCTCTTTGGGATAGCATATCCTAAATAGACCCTGAGTCCTCGTGTAATAATAGTACTTGGTATTCATTTGCTCCACCAAATGGCTCTGCTCGGCATGCTTGCTCGCGTATTGCTGCAACAGAAAGAAAGGAAAAAACGTCGTTGAGCGTCAAATGCCGGGGTTTTAATATTCAAGGAAAGTTGGAACGCGCTTTATTAACGAGATGATGAAGTGAAAGGGCAAGAACAAAGTCGAATAATCCGCCTTGACGGAGAGAGCTACCGGACGTGCGTTTTCGAATGCAGATGAAGTATACGCGCTCTTCCTTTCGCGAAAATGTTATTATCGTTAGAAAGTAAGAATACCGCGTTCTTGCGATAGAACATCTGTCAGAATCTCTCGCGTTTTTAGTGAAAGAGACCGCGAGCGACTTTACCTTCGCAGGACTTATTCCATTAGTTCATGCGAGACTGTCTTGAGACTTATCGTTAGATATAAAAACCCAAGGCGTTGGAGAAGTAATTCAGAACGGATTGACGAGACAAAAGTCAGTGTAACAATATATGGCTCTTTTCTCGCGAGAATATTATTATCGTAACATCGTGAAAATGTTGTTGGAAGAGATGCCGCGTTCTCGTGATAAAACCTCCGTTAGATTCTCCCACCTCTTTTGCTTTCAGCGAAAGAGTCTTCGGCAAACTTTTGCCGTCTTGGGCAAATTCTAATTTACGCGAGACTGTCTTAAGACTCAATTATAAAAATCCAGGGCGCTGGAAATTCAAATACTTTTAATCGCGGCACGAAGGTCCGCGTAATAAATCGTAGCGCGGAACGCTCGCGCGAGTTTCCCAGTCGCGTTAAGGAACTGCCGGTGGATGAAATTACGAGCAGAGAAAACGACGCCCGCTTTATTTCACGTCGCATCGCGGCATCGATATTCCGCGAAGAGACCGCCCATGATGGCCCGTAAGAACCCATAGAGAGCGTTTACTCGTGCGTGTCGACAGGCTAGTTCCGTGCTTTCTTGCGTTCCTCGGGGATGCGTGCCCGCGTCCTCCAAGTGCAATTTCAGATCGCGCGCGGTAGGCGGTGCGTCGCGATTTCGTCCGCGGGCGGTCCCTCGCCGGTGATAATCCCGCCGATTCGGGACTCGTCCACGGCGAGCAGGCATCGATGACGGGCTTGGATCGTGACGATCTATTTTCTAGAAAGTCCGTCTTCGATTTCCCGATTCAACGTCTGGTAGAAAGTATAATGATACACCGCGCTGTACACGCGGGAAATCTTAACGCATGAATCGCGACGCATGTCGGCGACGGACAGGAACATTTCCGCGCGGCGAAAACACGCGTGCTCGTTCCCTTTGCGTATACGAGTCGCTTCCCACGACGCGGCATTTCGCTCGATCCGTTGTCCGCCGATCGCTGATAAAACTGTTACCGCCGTTTCGTGAAAGCGTTTCTTTCAACGCTCCGCTCGTTTTCGTTAACAATACCAGCAGCCCCAACAACGCGGTCTCTCGACTACGTTTCATTAATTTCGAAGGACCAACCCAGTTTAGCAGATCAGGCTCTTTTGTTCTCTCAAGTTACTTCAAAATTGTTAAAACGCGTTAAGTTAGAGTTACCAAAAAAAAAGTAACTGTAACTTCGTTACAAGTAACTGAATTTAAACATGCACTTTTTTAAACATTCAACTACTTTTGCTCGATTTTTTGTTTCAATCCTTATTATAGATTTTTTGCTACCGACAAATATACCTACATGTCCAAGTGTCAGGTTTTCTACCTCGGCAGTCAATGGCGATAAGCGACATGTTAAAAACAGTTAATTTTAAGTGATTATATCTCGGAAACTATACGGTAAATCAAATTTAACACACACACGTATTAATATCTAAATTAGTTTTGCTGCAAGTTTAAAGAAAATCTGTAACTTCGTCATTTTGGACCTAACCACCTTAATTCTTTTTACTAAAATGAATGTAACGTAAGCTCTTTGTATCTACTATACTTCGGTCTACAATGATCGTGGAAAGTACCGTCATATTTACAGGTGGGAACGTTGGCTTTGTCGTTCCGCAAAACGATTGTTAGTTTATACGCAATGGACACTGGCTTTGTAACAGAAAGCAGAAACACGTTCGCGTCTGTCAACAACGACACGGCGATTGGCGGTGTTTCTGAAATTCCACGGCCTACGTTCTTCCTCGATTACCAACCGATAATCGTACGAGCGTGACGTATATTGCGCTGATGCAAGGCTCGATTCAACCTTGGTGAACACCCATGCGTCCCGAGCAGCGTTCTCTCGAAAGAACGCGTAAAGTGAACGATGCACGTTCGCCAGGTGGACGGTTCCATTTTGTTGCCTTACGTAGATCAAATAGTCTTGTAATATAACGAATCAAACTATTCTATTATGGAATAGTTAAAGCCATTGTCGGGATGGACACATTCCTTCGGCCCATATTCCGAATACTCTCTTATCGATAATAAGTGCCACGAAAATTGATTTTGAAGGATTCTTATCGTCTGAAAAGATCTTTTACAGACACTTTTGTCGATAAAAGAAAATTCGGAATGTGGGTCTTTACCATAGACATAGTAAATATAGACTGAGCGTCCTATTGAATAAGCTGAAGCTTGTGAGGAGAGAGACAGAAGATATAAGATGACTTTCTTTCTCTGTCTCACCATCGTGAGGGAGATTCACGCTTATGTAGTACTGCACAGGCACGATTCTTTTCTTTTACTATAATGTAAGATAGAGAAAGGAAGTCTTCTTAAATTCTCTCTCTCTCTCTCTCTCTTCACAAGCTTCAGCTTATTCAATGGGACGCTCAGTCTATATTTACCATGTCTATGGACTTTACGCTTGAACATAGCAATCAAGTCCCTTTATTCTATGTCTCACTCGGTTATTCCGGCTTCACTTTTTCATTTATACTATCGTCCACGATACCAAACAATCGCCTAATATCACGAAAGAGAGATAGAGAGTGAGAAAGGTGGTTCAAGCAGCATCTTGACAAAATTTTTAAGAACCGCGGAACATTAATTTTCTTTGCTGTAAAATGCCCAGTTATTTAAAGAGAATGTGCTCCTCGCGCGAAAGTTTCTGCGAGCAACAGGTGTTGTCTGCAAACGTAACACGTGTATCCTCGCGCGACGGTATATATCGTTTACGCGGAATTATCGTCTCTCATGGTTGGCGAGAAAAGGAAGAAAGGAGGACTCGAGTGAATCCCGGTCTCGTCTAGGCCACGCCATTCTGCTTTCACGTTGTTATTTCGCCATTGCTCGCCTCAAGCGCGGGAATATCGTCGAGCCCGGCTGATTTCTTTGACATAGAAAGGAAAACTCGCCGTGGAGCTCGATGCAGATAATTATATTATCAAATGACGAATCCCATCTCGCGTGCATCCTTCGACAAACTCTCCCGAAATCTGTGGCATTTTGTCGGAGACCGATTTCGCGGCATCAATGCTCTGTGTTTCTTACATTTCTGCAGGATTGAGAAAGTCACTTTATAAAAGTATATAGTTACAGTTTTATCGCTAAAAGTATATAGTTACAGTTACAGTTTTATCGCTAAAAATGTAACTAGTTACAGTTACAAGTTACCAATCGAAAAAAGAAGTAACTGTAACTTCGTTACAAGTAACGAGTTACTTCCCAACCCCGCATTTCTGTTACAATCCCGCGTCGCCAACGCGGGCATATTTTCAACGCAACGCTGCAGCCGGTCATATCACAGTTTTATTCGCGGAGGGAAATGATTATTGCAGCAGCTAGAGGTGATTATGCAAAATATTTGCGCACGCTCGCGGAAATGGACGGAGGATAGCTTTCACTGAGCCTGTCGTTCTCGCCCTTCGTTTCCAGCGCCGGACAAATTGTTATCGCGGCCACTTGTACCGGCGTCGGTGTAAATTCGTTGGAGCGTTATCGGTTCGGTTGCAGGTCCGCGTTAAAAAGAACGATAGGAGAGGCCCGTTCACCTCGTACGCGAGCAGCGACATTTTTAGCCAGCACGTTACGTGCGGCAACTTTCATTTGAATTTTTTCCCGCCGCCGCGTGGCTTAACTCACTGGCCGATCGTGTCGCGATCGCTTTTCCGATTCTGCACGACTTATGATTACACAATTCCCCGCCGAATCTGAGTAATTCGCCGTTGTGCATCGGTCATTCGAAGGGACCGATCGTGAGCAACACAGGTTTGCGCAGGCGATTTGAATGACAATTGATGCAATTTATCCCATTTCCGGATGCATCTAAGGATCTCGTGCATTAATCTGTCACGCCGGACGGCGAAACGATGCGATCGGGCTGTTCAATTGCGATTTCGCGCACTCGCCAACGTCCTCGCAACATCGAGCAGCCCATAATCGACGCGGAGCCTCTCGCTTAGAAATTATTTTGCTAGATGTTGAGCAACAGGTTCTTACATACTTCAGTATTTATACCGTCATTCTCAGTACGATTATTCTCTCTACAATTTCATTTTCAAGTTATTTTATAGATTCTTTGCCAGTCATACTCGTACAAGTATAACGACGGCAAATCCTTCCGTTTATACACTCGATGGATTTTCAAAGTTAACAAACGTAGTTTAAATAGTTTCTTTGCTCTCGCGGCGCTCGGGTTTAAATCACCCATTACCAATGTACTGGGAGTTTCAGAGATAATCTGATAGTGTCTCAAAAAAATAAACACTCGATGAATACCGAATAAAATTAATACCTAAAGCGATGGGACTCGCTCGAACCTCCTTTCTCTCTTTCGTGATTTTATACCTGGAGTAGCGACGTTTGTCAATTACGTCGATTACAAATAGTGCAGAATCTTGCTACGCTAGAATATCATATTAACGCATCAAAATGAATTAGGTATTGGAGAATGTACACCCTATTATTCAACGTACAAGTACTACTTGACGCGACTTTTGCACAACCTGTCTCCGCTGAATACGATCAACGACATATCGGCCACTATATTGGCTGAAACGTTTCTGCTTTCTACATCTACTCTCTTACATAAGCTCGCGCAGCGTGTCGCCGTCCGATCGCGACAAAAGTCGAACGCTTTTCGCGGATGTCGAAAGAAAATTTGCGCGTGGCATAATAAGCT